AGGAATAGCCCTAAGGAAAACAATTAGTATCTTTTGGCAAACACCAATTCTTTAAAATAGGAAAAGTCTCAAGATAAACTTATTTTTCAAAATATGCATCAAGCTCAGAATGAGGGAAGGAGAGAACAGTCAGATAGATGCCACTAAATAGCCAGTAACCCCCAGATCAGTATGTTAACCTGAAACAACGGAGAGCTAGGTTCAAGTGGCTTTCCCACATAGTCATTACTGAGCATAGTATTGGTTTGACAGGCTGGACAATAACAATTTGAGGAAACTCTTGCTTGCTGACTTCTTCTGAGGAGACATCAATGAACGAAAAAGAGTAGCTAATTTCCTCTAGGAGGATCAACTCACACTCCAGTGATTCAAGACACGCCATAACCGGCAGCAAGTGTCCAAGCAGAAGCTGGAAAGAACCAGCACCATCTAGTGCTCAGGAGAGACGGAGCAAGCAGAACATATAGAAAGAGGAATGCACCAACAACTTTCAGGCAGAGAAGTGCAGGATACACTTTCAAGGAGACTGAAACTGCACTTGAACATAAAAAGAGACTCTGCAGCTGGCAAAAGACAAGGAGATGGACCTGGCACTATCTTAGTGCTAAGACTTTATTACCTTAAAGGTCTTTAACCCAAGCTATAAGGCAACAATGAACGACATTTTATAGACTGTAACTGCAAAGAAGGCATGCAATTTTGTCATTCTGGGCACTCCTTTGGAAAGACAGTTTAGAAAAGACATTATATGTTTCTCCCTTCTTAATTAATGGAAAAATCTATCTCTTTTTAAACTGAAAGATTGAAAAAAGTTATCTCTTTTGGTGACATAGAGATAATTGCATGCCCTCAACTGCACTCCAGACACCTACAAGTACTAAACACAGATTAGACAGGGCTTTCCACTGCAAAACCAATACCACCAATGTTCTTGTCCAGGTCAATGCAATGCCATGGACATTGTGGTGTCTGCAGCTCTCACTTGCTAAGTGTTTCCATAGTGCACTGCTGCAACTACATTGTCTTAGTCTTTCTAGTAGGACCCAGAACTACTTTATTTGGCTCCCATTTCCCTAGTCAATATCCTGAGTGCCAAATCACAGAAATCTAAATATAACTCTCAAATATCAACATCATCACATATTCAGATATGCACAGTCAGTTTTCAGCTGTAGACTTCAGGAGAAAATTACCAGCAGCAAACTCAGTTTCCTGCTGTTAGTTAGAATTACAATTTACACTGAATAATAGAGAACATGGAATGATTTTTAATGTATGAATTTCTAATTTCCCCTCCAGGTATTTTAATTACACACCATCTCAACAGGAACAGAGATAAAAAGGCAACAAACATAACTTAGTTGGTGTCAATCACCTGAGACACAGAAGATTACCACAGAGCAGACAGCTTTGTAGGCATCATTCAACCTACTGGCACAAGACAAACAAGCTGCCACTCCCAACTTCTCTGTAAGACACTGTTAACAACACTAACAGACCTCTACAGAACAAATAGAAAACAATTACTGTCCCTATAAGAGTTAGGACTCCCACCTTCTGATTCTGCCTTTCTTGATTTCCTTCTTGTTATTTAGCACAATGAAGGCAGTGAAGTAGCTTCTACATAAACCCTGCAGAAGTTCCTGGATGAGGCATTTTACTTTGCTGCAGCCTAACTTCTGGCATAATGCAACCACTGGTCCATCTTTAAAAGAGTCAGTATTAAATGCAAATCCTTTTTGTAGGGCAAGTTGCCTATACTGAGCTCAGCCTTTATAACTAACTGAAGACCATGTCATAGAGATCTGACTTGTCAAGTTTTGAAAATAACCTTCTATATGTGAATCAAGTATAGGCAATCATTTGTGCTCTGGCTGAGTCTGCAAAAAGACCAAGATAACAATTATGAAGAGGACTGAACTGCCTCCCTAAAAAGAGAATTTGTGGTATAACTCAAGTGGAGCACAAAATGCAACCATTTTTTCTCAGGCTTAGTTGGATTGACCTGAAGTCCAGCTGGTCTGAAAACTTTTTACAGTCATAAGAGCTGAAGTGAGAGATATGATTAGATATTTGGAAGAACCCAAGAAGAAAGGAAGAAAGCAAGATCAAACCCTCCAGCAGCGGTTTCCAGTTTAAATAAAATTAAACTTATTACAGAACTGCACTCACAGAAAGTCTCAGCTAAGAGCTGTGATTGTTCACCTTGGCATAAAGCACTATGGCAAGAAACAGGAACTAGCTATCATCAGTGACAAGGAGACACTAAGATGTGTACCATGAGTTTTGGTCAGGAATTTCTCAGGCTGCTTTCAACCATAACATAGCAGTTTGTTAAAATAGAAAAGGATACATTTTCTTTGGACAACAGCATTACTCTAGAATGATTGCACAGTAAAAATGAACAAAAAATATTCCCCAGAAAAGAACCCAAACAAACAACAAACAAAAACAAAGCCCCCAACAAACCAGTAGTCACTGAGGGCACTTGGCCACTACACAGGTGACAAATTTAGGTTCCTGGTCTAAATCCAGTGAAACAAATTTGGGTTTGCTGCACTACAGGTGAGGATGTTAGCCAAAGAGGTACCAGGTAATCCATAGAAAATTTCTTGTTCGTGTTTCTATTTTCTTTCTCTTACTCTCCATCAAATCCATTCTGAAGTAGAATGTCCTCAAAAGTCATCAAATTTTCTACAAAGAAAAGCTATTCTCCAAGCAGTTTGTAGCAACCCTTGCCACACCTATCAAAACACAACACTTTTCCCCTAACTTCTGAACCTTTTTGCCACTTCCTTCCTGGACTCTGAAAACCTTATGATAACAAGGAATTATCTCTGACTGCAGAGAAACTTGAGCACCTCATAGTGCTGCAAAAACTAGGGAATAAAACTAGGTAGACCATTTGCCATAAGACATTAATTAAATACATCAGTTTCCTAAAAGGTGAGACTTCAGGAGCATTTAAGTCATCAATATTCCTTCAGACATTTTCAGAGATTAATCCCTGTGGCTTCTTACACATTGCATTACACCATCCCGAAGTGCACTGTAACCCCAGACTAACACTAGGTTGTTTTGTAGCCCCTAGTAATCAGTCAGCTGCTGTTAATGTTGCCAGATTTAAGACCCCTCTCCCAGGCAACATACAGTTGGTTATTTCTATCCATAAATACCAGCTGCTGTGGGATAATTACTTTGCATCTGACCTCATACTACCCTGATAATTTTATAAAAATATCCCCCCACTTGCTAATTTGCACTGGAGTATGAGAGCAACTTGAGGGCACATTATTTTACTCTGCCATTCCACTTTGAACTTCTAGCTATGACAGAGGAAAGCATGCATGGGTTAAAAAGGGTCCAGAAATTTAGAGAGTTCCCCCCCATCAAAAAAGGGATAGAGAACATATTTCAGGAAGTCCTGTCACCAGATCTAACACTGGTTTGACTGTAGAACTGTTTTGCAGTCTCATGTCCCTAGTTAACCCTTCTCCCAGCTGCTCTATACAGCTTAAAAATGAACTTGATGAAACATGAATAATACACAATGCCCATCATTAGTTCTTGTTACTCAGCAGAAAATCAATACATGCTCTGTTACAGCACAGGACATGCTGTTACTCTAGTCCCTGCACTCTGAGGGAATAGCTCCCACAGTCCAGCTTTACACAGCTTGCAGCAGAGGAAAGGTGGGAAGATCCCACCAACAGTTCCACAACAAAGATGCTGAGAGCCTTAAATATTGATTACAAAATAAATTTTTGGAGGTAACTGGTACCACAGACTTGGCTGGTATCAGCTCTAGGAATGTTTTAACAATGCTGCACTCCATTCTTAATTTTATTAGTTAAAGCTCTGATGTTTACTAGCACAGTAAAATCCCATATCTATATTTACAGGTATCAAGTGTACCTGTATTCACAAAGTCCCAAACTTAGTTAAGACAACTTAAAAATTCTCATCATCCCTATAGAAACCATAGAGTTCTAGCTTACAGTGAGAGAACTGAAGCACAGTTAGGCAGAGGTATGATCATGGCCATTCATCCAACACAGGCACATAGGAAATGATGGAAAATAAACATTAGGGTCCAGCAAGATCATTTGTGCCCCCCTTCCTATCTGGCATCCATTTGAGAGCAGTTCACTATGTGGGTGTTCTGCAGGCTGGCAGCCACACAGAACACGGTCATTTCAGAACACGTGCAAAAAAGAAAGGGCATTTATGCCAAAACCAGCACAGAATAAATGTACTGTGAACAAAACGGGGAACTCTTCAGGCCACATTCTCCAGTGACGTCTGTGCCAATCACATTCTGTATTGACTGGCTATTTATAGCATTTTTCAATACTTGCTATCCACGTAGCAACTAGGTTTGCTACAAACATGAATGGATTAACTCCCCAAGTTAGGGAAAATATCTTCATTTTGCAGACAAGTCAGTGGAACACTAAGACTGAATTATTTTTCCAGGGAACACATAAAAGGGCAATGTCAAAACCACAAGCTGAACACAAATGTCCTGGGATTCACAACTATGCTGAACAGTGTAACTTTTGCCACCCTTCTGCATAGCCTCTATGAAGAAGCCACATGGAACTGCTTTACTAAGTCCACTGAAGCAACAGCTACCTGCAGTTTAGCACAATCTTTTGCAGCCTACAGTAATGCAGCCTGACAGGTTGAGCAAGACATGCAGAATGACTATATTCCCACCTAGAACCAGAGCAAGAAACCCCCTCCAAACAGAAAAATCAAGGAGCATTATGCATCTCAACTACCATGAAATGAAAATGAGGTACCACAGCAGCATTTTTATCCAAAACAAAGAACACTGTGTAATCTGTCAAGTCCCATTTCCCAGCCTCACTAGATAATCTGGTGAGTGTATCAGAACACTTAGGAGTGAAATGATCAGTACAATTCGATTATCATTAATGAGAATTGATGGGAATAAAGTGATGTTATGTTGAAAGCACTAAGAAATGCTGGCATACCTGGGGTAATTTCAAAGAGATGTTTTCCTGGTTCATCAGGATTAGGTGGCAGCTCATTCACCTGATTGCCTTGCAGTAATATCAAACCCTGTAAGGGATACAAGCATTAGTGAAAAGGGAAAAGCCACCAAAAGAGTAAAGAAAAAATGATATGATATGTAGCAATTTCAGAGCCCAACTTCTTTCCACATTTCTGAGCAAGAAAAGATTAAGCTGATCATGCTTTACCTGTCCTTTCTCTGGACACTTTTGGTCAAACACTCTTTCCTCTGGGATAACAATACTCTAAGCATGTGGAGGTGATTCTCCTTGGTTTCCATAACTAATTATCCTTTGCAATAATTTTGTCTCACATTACATCTACTCTTCCTTCATCCTTTAATTTCAGGTTGCAGCATGAAACTTCAGTCACCAACAAGATGGCTTAAATTCTATTGTTTATCTTTATTTCTGCAATTGAATAAAATGAACCATTTTCCAGAGATCCTCAATACACAGAAGTTCCCAGGGAGATACTGGAGGAAAGCAGCTAATTCAGGTTTGCAAAGCAGTGGACTACCTTTTATCCCAGACTATAGTTTCCCTAAAGGAAACCTGAGCCCCTTTACTTCCCAAGTTCAAATGCTGCCAATATTCAGCTTCATTTCCACTTTGAGCCCAAGCATAATTAACACACTCTATTCCAGTTTGGGAATTCTGCATAGTTGGTGACATAGTATCTTCAAAGTGAATAAAGTCCTCTTCATCTGTGTAAAGCTGAAAAAGAGATCACAGGGAGTTCTTGTCCAGAAACATGAGTGGAACAAGCATTTAATCTTTGACATTTTAAAGGGTTTCCAGTTAACATTCTTCAGCATATACTCACAGTAAGGTAGACAAAAGGCAATAAGAACTGGAACTCTCAAGAGTTAAGCCATGAATGGGGTAATGAGGAGTTCCTACTCATGCATTGAACTGACCTGGAATGGAAACTGGGTTTTAACTAATAAAAGACAACTCATCATAGGACCTTTGAAATCATCTCAATAAAATAAGCCAGATGTGTTAATTTTCATTCCAACTATTATGGTGTAACTTCTATGGCTTTGCTCCCTGGGAATACATTTTCCTCAACATGCTTTGTTCAGAAAACTACTAAAATTGCCCAAGGAGCCAGCTTGTATTAAATGTAAAGGAATTAAGTTTTACTCTTTTCTTTGAACATAGAACATTCAAAAACTACTACAAAATAAAATACCACAACAGTAATGCCTGAGATGGAAAATACTTCGGCTAGGAAATAAGCTCCAAGTCATGCAGGTTTACAAGTTGACATTCCAGTTCTGACAAGCCATCCTATTAAAGTGACTTGCTGCTTTGATAGGAGTTGTTTGTTGCAAACTGAAAATGTTTCACAAGTACTCAAATTTTGTTCTTCACAAAACAAAACTCACTTCCCATGACACTGTACGCTCAGGAACCTAATTCTATGTTTAGCCATCCCTCAGGGGTATCAGGCAAATGAAAGCCCTGTGTGTACTGCAACTCATGAGATCCACACAAAGTAGAGGTAGTGTCATGGGATACTATGTCAGCCAGGAACAAGGACCAAACAGTGACCCACTGACCACAGCATGAGTTTTGAAGGCAAGACCCTCAATCTGTCTTTTACCCAGTGCTTAGGATATTTTGCCAAGGAGCAGTCTCAAACTGTGGCTTGAGCAGAAGGACTGCTTTCTTAGTGTGGTTTCTATCAGGTAGTTCTTTGAAACGAAAATGATTTAATGGGATGTACACTGAGAGGTTCATGCTCCCTCCTCATCTCCTCTTCATACTGAATGCAAAAGTTATAAAGTAGCTACATAGCATTCCCCTAGAGACACCATATTGAAGAGGTAAAATGAACAAAACTGAAATGAAAGTATCTGCTTGCCTTTCCACAGAACAAAGTTCTATGAAGAGAGGGGAGCAAAAGAAGTAGCTCCTATGTTAATCTGAGGCTGAAGCACATGAGTAAGGGGACGTGGATAGGTGGTAGGGTCACAATTCTTTCTTTTGAAAAGCTCCTTTATGAAGAATAGGACAAAGTTTTAATGCTGCATACAGAAATTCAGACACCTCTCACTTTTAGGAATACATGGAACATGCCTAGGGAACTGGTAGCACAAGCAGAAGAAGATTTAAAAGTCTTAGCTACACAAATGAAACCACAAAGTATTTCAGAATAGCCTAAGAAAAGAATGCTCAGAAAACACAAGAAAGAATCCTGAAAAAATTCAGAAAGCTGACTTGGGGGGGGGAAGTCAAACAAGGAAACAATAAACCCACCAAATTCCAAATAATTATTTTGTTAATTTAACTTAAACTTGATGTTTATGCATTCTCAGTTGTAAATTTACACTTTCAGGTCATTATTTTATTAACAGAAGTTGCAAATATGGCAATAAAAACTAATATGGTATCAGTTGATCCCAGCTGATCAGACTTTCAGAGCCTCAGTTACCATTTGAAAGCTGGTAATAGTTTTCCATCACAAGATGTAATTCTCTTAAGTGTTAACAGTTGCTTTCTTTGGAGGAAAAAAATACATTTTGTAGAAAGAAAAATCTCTTCAAGACCCAGTAACTGAACTCTATCTCTTATTTTAAGGTACAGTCCTCTCTTAAGAAGCCCTCTAAGCAAAACTAACCCATCTCAAAACAGGTGCCTACAATTCCTCAAAAAAAAAAAAAAGTTGGGCCTTCTTTATTGTATAGTATAAATCAAGCATAAATTCCCATTTGAAATGGTTACCTAAACCTCACATTTATAATCAAGCAGAACTCAGGACTCTGAATCAAACCCTCTGTTACTTCAGAAAAAGGAACACTTTTGTGGAGGGTTCTTTCCCTTAGCCTAAATTAATAAACCTGGAAAACACGTATTTCTGGGTCACACATACTTTAGGCAGAACCCAGTGATATACAAGCTAGCTTTTTGCTGTTTTATAGTATGGAAGGGTGAAGATGCATAGCAGTCTATACAGGAGGAGAGTGTATTTACAGTGAAGAGCAGGAGCAGTTCATAGAAGAATGCTGTCAAACTAGAGTTTCAGAAAACCCATCTTCCTGCAGGAAACTGAAGTCAGTGGTGAAGTCAAAGGGTTAAACCAAATTCTCACTCTGTAATGCTTTCCAAAGGTTGTACTTTGCTTGACTCAGTCACCATTCTCCTGCAACAAAACTAAGCAAATGGACTTTTGCCATGCTTGATGCACCATATGGTGCAATGTCACCTGCCTCCTCTTCAGTGAGATACACCTTCGACACATGAAGGTGATGTTTACTTTAGAAGAGATTACAGAGGCATAAATTGCCTGAAATAACACCCTAAACCAAAGCATTTCCCACTCAAAATATACTTTCTTTTTGATCCTTTTTAGGAAATACTTGATTTCATATATTCTCTAAAAAGTTTTCATTGAAGTGACTTGTCTCTTACTCTCAGTTTAATCACCTTCAATGAAATGTGTATTGTACATCAGTAAAGCTACTTTTTCCTTACCAGTATGCACCTCATTCAGTTGTGCAATGAAGTTGCAGCAAACTGAGCTGGTAGCATAACAAACCAGAAAAGAGAAGGTCTTACGTGTATAAGACCTAGAAGAATGATTTTTCAGAAATTAAAATTGAGAGTTGCTCATTTCACCTATGAAAAACAAGAAAAACCTGCAAAATAGGCCCATGTCTGGAGAGTATTCTTATGTTATAAGTGTACATATAGCAAAGATTTTCAGATCAGCTTCTTGCACTTTTCCCTCTGCACACCAGCAAATTCTGCTGATTTCTCTCTATAAACAGTCCTTTTAGGGGACAAAAAACTTGTCCAGAGGGTAACAGAGTGCCTAGCTCACAGTTGTCCAATCTGCCTGGCAAGCTATGGGGAACTCCAAACAAACAGAGATGAAAAGGTAGAAAAAAGTAATTTATCTTAACGGGGAGGGTGTATCAATTCTGACAGTTGCTGTCACTGGTAGAAAGACATTACTAAATTCAAACAGATTCATGTGTCCTTGTCCAGGAGCCACTCAGACTGCATTAGCAATCTTGCTTGGGAAGTAAATTAATGATGGATTAAATCAGTTTAAATTCCCCAAAATCTAACTTGATATATGCCAAAGCATGCCCCAGAAATAAACATCAACTCACGACCGAGTTATTCCTCCCTCCCTCAGGCTTTGGGAGCCTGAGATGGTTGAACAGCTCAAGGGGCAGGCAAGAGGTTGCAGAACTTCCACTAAGCTGGAGGCTCAAAACCCTTTTTTGATTATAGCACCACCTTATACCCTTTGGGGGCCTTGGTGCTTTGAGAGAGAATCCTAAAGAGGACAAGTGTTCATATATTAATGGTATTACTGTAGTTCTCCCTAACAAGATCAACAGAGAAATCCTGCTTGTACCAGGCTCTTTAGAGCCAGTATTTGGTAAAGAAAGTCTGTGACGCAGGAAACATGACTGAAAAGCTTCATTTACTTGTCTGAGTCCCTCAACAAATGCAGTTGGTGTCAAAACACTGATCATCTTAATTCTCATACCTTTACCTTTAAAACAGCACTTCAGTCACTGTTACAAATCCTTAAAAGACTGGAAGGGGGGAAATAGTGGGACTCAAATCTGCCCTCAGGTATGGGTTTCTGAATCCCAGGCTAAGGATGATGAACTGAATACAGGAATATCTTTATTTTAACTAAGCACACAACAAAATTTCTGCAACAGCTTCATACCAATGAATAATCTCCAACCCTGAATTCTAAGGATCATATAGTCTAAGCTAATCCATGACCAGACTTAGCCATAGTCTCAGTAAAAGAGATGGAAGCCAAGCTGCCTCAGATTTAAAGCAGGCTAAAGGATAGATCCCACATTTCAAGTGATAAGTCAATTGTTGTCTCAGATCCTTTTTTCTCAGACCAGGAAATGTAACAAGGGAAACTTTCCTAGGTGTTTGTGAAGAACGTTCCCAGATGTAGTCAGGCATGAACTTTTAAAAGACCTCTCTTGTTCATCACGTGGACACTCAATAATGGTTGTGTCAATAATAAACAAAGAAGGATGACTTGCTGGCTCAGGTTGCCAGCAGACATTGCTGCATTAACATTACTAGAGCTAGGTTTTGTTTGAGGGAAACATTTGGTTAGTAACAGCCCTTAAAAACTTCTAGAGTCAGTACTGGGAAATGAACAGAAGATTTTGAAAGCTTAATGCATGTTCAAAACCTCTAAACCAAGGTTTTAACAGATTTATGTATTTTTTCAGTCAAGTTGTACCTACAAACCATACTGGACCTGAGGCTTACAGGAGCACCTACAGGTATGAGTAACAGCAGCAGTCCAGCCTGCTGATGGAGTAAACAGAACAAACTTTTCTTCATTAGCAGATAATACTCTCCCCAATGAGTTGAACGATGATGAAATTCCAGCCTGTTCCAAATGAAAGAAGAGCTTTGCTCCTTCACCTTGCAAAGTACACGCTAGATTAGAATGAAAAAACAGACAGCTACTAGGTGGATTTTACTGACAGGAAATGGTACTGAGAGGACAGAGATGTGCAGGCTCATGCAGTTCCCTTGGAGAAGGAGAAATGTAAAGCTGTCCTGCTATTACTAGGTATATCTAACTAGGTATATCTGTATATCTGACTCCCATCACCATTCTCAATATATATTCTCCAAGTATTCAGTATAACGAATAAAAATATTCACCAAGTTTGTGCTTTATGACTCCCCACTTCATATTACAGATGCAGCTGCCCTGCGACTCTCACTCTGCCTTTTGTGTGTCCCATTACAAAGTGTTATGTGGAGATCACATCATTGCCATCTCTGCTCACTGACTGGAACAGGATCAACACTAATCCCCAGTAGGCTCTCTAGGTAGTGCTGCAGAAGAGTGTCAAGGTTCAGTTCCTGTCCCCTACTTAGTGAAAGGACACATTGTAGGAGGACACTTAGCAAAGACCATACTGAGAGGTTTATCTAGAATGATTGCAAGTTTTAAAATTAAGGTAAAATAAGTCAACAGAATAGGATGAACTTTCAGCACCCTCCCCTCCCTACCCTATTGCCCTACAATTTGACTTTGAAGTTCACTGAAATTTGAAGACATGCTGAAGGCATTCCAAAGATAACAGGAAAACACTGGAAAGGTAACATGACAAAAATGCAGATGCATTTCAAATTATTTCAAATGGAACAAAAAAGTATAACATACAACATTATCTTTAGAGTCCAGTGGCCAGAACACATTCTAGAAAATTCTGCTGTTTTCTAGAGGGCAAAATTCAATCCCACTGCAGATGCACTACAGCCTTTTATCATGCCAAGTCAACACTGAAAGAAAGGTTAATGAATTAGTTGCACAGTGGCTTCTGTTCCCCTGGAAACTGGGGAGGAGTGCATGCTATCTCCTATCCTGGGAATAGAAATGAACCCAAAGCTACTTTAAAAACCGACCAATATATTGACAGAGTCAGTAGGAGCATCAAAAGCTCTTTGCAGGTCAGTCCTCCCTTTCCCCTTTCCTCATGGGGGCAACCTGAGAAAACACTCAAGAAAAGTAATGTCTGCAAGTCCACCCTCTAAACATTGGACTCTGAGTGGGCTGTGCAACTGCAGCTATGTCATATGGCACACAAATGCACACACCTTCAACAGTACTCAATCCATTAAGACCACAGAGCAATTCCTCTTCACTCCAGAAAGCCTATGTGATTCTCCTACCATTAGATTACAGCTCCATCTTTTTAGCATTATTATCAAGGGAAGAACATCTGCAATTTCCTCTTAGAATCTGATTTTCATAAAAATAGGCAATGCAACATCCATAAACAAAAAGCTGTTATTTCATGTTTGTCTTTTGAAACATTATGTCATAAATCTCACTTACTTTATCAGTTAAACAATAAGAATACAACCTTCTTCCAGAGTATGTATAAATAATCAAGTAGGCAGAAGATCAATGGGAATTTTGGTGCAGTTACTGATTTAGTTTCTGCACACAAGCTTGCAGACCACACTTGATATATAAAACAAAAACACTTAAATTAAGCATGAGAACCTTTCAGGCTAAAGGAAATTAAGGATTAATATCAACTAATGAAAATATCTCCATGGCCTGTAACAAAGATCTCTTAAGGTCTCAGTTGTGTTCCTTTGTAGGCATCCCTGTGCCATTGCCCCCTCATTCCAGAAAATCCCAAGCAATAGCTATCTACAAGTTAAAAAAGTACATCTCACCTGTGGGATGCATACAGTCCTAGCTCAAGTCAGATGCAAATCCTAGTTTGCGATTCCTAAAAGAATAGTCAGGACACAGTCCTTTATCATCCTAATATTCTGTGATTCTGTGAAAACTGCTTCCCATGGTGATAAATGTATGGCAATCCCATGCCCCAAAAGGGTCAGGGTTAAAGAAATGCTTTACAACATGACTACTGAGGCAGTTTCTTCCTCCTCATGTCCACTAACACAGTTCAGAAGTGCCCAGCTCTCCATATCCATTGCACACGAATATAAGGTGCTTGGCTTAAAAGCACAAAATCCAGCTGTTGCTTGCAGCATCCTGAGTAACCAGGCTACATCATCAGGTCCAAGTGTCTGTAGCCTTTACACAGCAGGCTGTCCATAATGATGGACCAAATCCCTGATTAGGAGAGTGCAAGATATAAGATGCAGTCAACATCCTCATTCATCTACCATACTTATATCAGGCCCACAGGGGAATATTCATTTCCATTCTCACTCTACAATGAAATTTATGTGACAGTCAAGCACACAGCTGCATCAAGCAGTTCAATAATCATCTATAATGAGCGTGTGGATGGTGATGATATTATACAGGCTGACTGTCACTCTGTAATGCCTGTACTGACTCATCAGGAGGCAGCAGTACAGGGACATTGTCTGGCTTATTCAATTATGTTCCCTCTGTTCAATGACTCTGGCTAAAGGCCCGACAGTCAAAACAATAACTACATGAATTATGATACATAACCTACTACAGCAACTAGGGAAGACCTTAGCTCAAATGCTGCAAGAGTATTTTACAGGCATTTGAAGAAGACAAATAATAAATTCTTTATCTCCTCTATAAGCTTTATCCCATAGCATAACACCCTCTCCTTCTCCCACAATGCTAAAACATATTACAGCCCATTCTCAAGCCCTTCATGCCAGGATGTAACAAAACCTACCCACTCTGCACACACAAGCCAGCCCTACACAGCTGGTTCACCTCTCAGCGAACAATGGATTAGTTGGGAGATAATGAGTCCCAGCTGACTAAGCAAGGTTAATCACTCCTGCCTCAGGAATCTGGAACTCCATAGCTCTTCCTGTCAAACTCCAGTCTCACAGATGACCATACTAAGATTTGGAGGTCAGCATGCCCTAGTGGGTAAGTAAACACCTTCTAACCTTTTCCCAAGCTCTACAACTTGCCTGATAGAAGTCTCCTTACCATGTCTCTTGCCTTTGAACCTTCTTAAGCGTGTACGGTTTTGGTGAGGATAGAAAGCAACTGAAATGAGCTCAATCAAAGCAGTAACTGTGATCTACACAGAAGTCACAACCAGTAAGTCATACCTGAGGTTTAGTTTCCTCTTCATCCTTGTAATAGAAGAGCTGATCCCCACGCAGCACAAACCATCGCTGCTGCCAGTTCTTCATAATGCTCCTTTGTTTCTTTAGCCAGCCACACTTCAGCACACGTTCTTGAGGGTTTGGAGAAGAAGGTCTGGAGGGAGGCCCAATCTGTTCACCCATCACCAAACTCCTTGACCGGGCTGAAAAGGCAATTACAGAGTAAATGAAAAAAAAATAAATAAGGATAAGAACACTCAGATGTGGATAGAGCATTACACGTATGCTACCTCTTTGAGCAGGTACTTGTTTTTCAGGGTGTACATTCAAGTTCATGACAGTCAAACAAAAGACAAACCACCTTTTTGGTACTGCTCACTCCAGCAACCTTCTAAAGTGACACAATACCTCCACTAAGGCTCCACTGGTCATACTACCTTTCTTTGTGGCAAATCATTACTGAATTCCAGCTCTATAATAATGATATTGCTCTCTCCTAAAGGCATATTTACCCAATGAGGATGTGCAAAAAGTGTGGTGAGGGGGGACAGAAAAGGAAAAAAAATGAGGGAATATAAGAAAATATTCTTACTCCATACACTATCACTGTGGGGTGATTAGCCAGTGAACCCAGCTGCCATAAGAAAAAAGATTAAAAACTGGGAAAGATTCAAAAAGAGAATTGTCAATCAAAATGACAAAGACAAAAGACATATAGATAGCATAGCTATCCAGAATGATTAAAGTCATCTCACTCTTCAGGGCTTTCTGACATCAAAGCAGAAAAACAAAATTAAAACAAAAGATGAAATAAAGGGAAAAAAATCAACATGTAAATCTGACTAAAGGTTTCAGAAATAGAAAAGAAATGTATCGCCCTTTCTATTCTCTTTCCACATGCCTGCAGTAAGAGTACTAAAGTTTTGAGCATTTAGAGCTAGTCTGGCATAGCAGATAATGATTATATACTGCAGGCAGCAAGCCAGTTCTCTAGAATGGATAGGTTAGGTGACCTTATAGGTCTTTTCACCTCTACTTCCTTTGGATTTATGAAGTATCTTATAATAATAGTTATTTAATATTTCATGCCATTTTCCTTCATTAGTGCTAACATGATCCTGCTCCTTCCCATTTTCTACAGTCAGCTAACTTAAAGCACAATTTATAATTGCTCACTTGGAACAAGGTGTTAGTTTAGAGGCCAATACCAGTAAATCTACATCACTGATGTCTTACATTAACACTGTAAAAAGAAAACCAAAACAAACCAGGCAGCTAAAAGACAGGCAAGCTTCTAATTCACATAGCCCTGATATGCTACAGCTAATCCAGATTGTCACAACAAAGGGCAACTCTCCACCTCTCAGAGCACTGTCTAGCTTTGCCTCTTTTGGGTTCAGACAACTACAACATGGCCTTGATGTTACCACTCGATTCTGGTTTTTGCTCCAGGTGCCTTATCACACATTGATGAGACTGAAAACATATGCCAAAGAAAGAAAAATAATTTGGAGGTTGTGGTGTTTGGGAAATAAAAAACAATGATAAGAAAAAAATAATTTAAAATAATCACAATTGCAACATCAAACTTGATCCTTTTTCTTCTCTTCCATCAAGCAAACTGCAAAATAAGGAGAGTCAGATAGCAGACTTAGGTCAGATCTTTGGAGAGCCTCCTCAGTGTAATCCAGTGAAGGAAATTCCATTAGTATCTGTAATAACATCTACTTTGACCTTCCTCGTGTCCTGGCAGTGAGGCCATCATGTTTTGCTTTATAAAGAAATATAAACCAGCACATCTACACACTAAACACTTCTGTCAGCAGAGGGCAGATCTGAACAGTACCATGTCCTCCCATTATAAAAAAGTCTCAGTGACACTATCTCCACTTGTACCATTTCATATACTTTTTCCTTTCACTCTGCCTTAAGGATCTGCTCACCTCTCCTGTAACCATCCTGTAGGCACTCAGTTTGACCCCTGACAATTTCCCAGTTTTATAGGCAGAAGATGACATCACTTCGTTAGTCTTAAATGTCAGACTCAGTGAAAGCCCTGTCTGATAGGTAGAATGGATTTTATTTTTCACTTCTCTGAACTGATAAGGTAAATTCTGGTACTCTCAACAGAACTGTGAATAACTGGTTTTGTCTTGTGCCAAGAGAAATTAGCTTTCAACTTATAACTATCCCCTGTTATAAGAAATCAATTTTTTATTTTGTTATTAGCTTCACTTAAAAAATGTAAATTAAAAGTTGAAATATTCTAAGAAGTGCTGCTGCAGCATCATAGCTTTTTTTGAATTATACTTCCCTTATTTTTGGCTAAAATAGCTGGCTGAATTTAACCTGAGCTCATATACAGCATTAGTCCTACATCAGCAAAGTTTACCAGCAACCCCTGGATTTTCTTGAGTAACCCAACACTTCTCAATTCTGGTTATTTTTACATAGTCAAAAGAATTCGAAAAAAAATTCATAATAAATAATTCCCTTAAAATCAGGCTTTGATGTATCCAGGCTTATTCTCTAAGGTTGCACACTGTAGTCTGAGCTCTCACAGACAGGAATTATCATTCCAGTAAATATATCAACAACCGCTTTCCACCACGCAGCCAAGATCGTCAGGATTTGGTTCCAGCCCTTCTGGCAGCACAGCACCTCTCACAGATGGATACAGAGTTACCAAAAAAACCCGTCCCCTTCCCACACCCCCATCACCACCAGGTCCTAGAGGACCCCATTTCATACACACAGAGTAAGAAAACTCCCTGGTCACCTTTGAGTCTCTATTGCAGAGACCTGCAGAAATTTAGTTGAACAAAACTTCTCTACTTCATCCCAGGCCACATTTTACAGCTATGACCAAACTGTAATCTAGTTTAGACTGTCCAGAATCTGTTTCACATTCATGTTACAATTTACGTTATTACAAGAGCAAATATCCCAAAAATTTGCTTTTACCAACAGCACTATAATGTTTCTTAGGCAACATCTTGGCTACTAATCTAACCATTTAGTCTAATAATACCAAAATCCATACTTCAGTAAGTACTTAAGTCATCTCCACACTGAAGTACCTTAGCACTCTCCAGCTTAAGCATGAAAGTCCCATCAGTTTCCAGTTTTCCTCACTTGCATATAGTTCCATGCACCCTTTGCTATTTTACCCCTCCACCTAAAAAGAAATCAGTTTCAAGTACCTGGAAAGCTACCATATATATTGACAGATCTCACAAAACACAAAGGTCTTGCTTTGCAATAACCCTAAGTAAATTACTTTGTACTTCCACACACCCTTCAGTGCTATTCGTCCAGTTCACCTAGCAACTATTTATTTTAGTCAAGAGTAAAAGCTTTTGTGATCATTTTTTTTATTTTATTTTATGCAGCACCCTGTCTCAGTCAATTGCTATGGTTGTCAATTCTTCATGCTGTCTTAGCTTTCCATTTCCTTAGTTTCTAATTGTGACTGTAATAGTTAATTTCATTAGGGAGATACTTAGCAACTTCATCTGCAAGTCAACAGCATGGATCAGATAGAAATTTTCAGAAAGAGGGATTATTTATGGCTATTAACAGCATTGATGTTTACACTGCATGCTTCACAGAATACAATAATTGCATAGAGGTCAGAAGAAAAGTTTCACGGATGAGCACAGCCTTCCTCTAAAGCAGCAGGTATCTCATGCTACTGGGATCAAAATATCTGCTTTGATAGTCTGATGCAGTACATCAAGCCCCTGATTCTTAATGGTAGAAATACATTCTTTATGCTCATCTATTGAACAGAATTATGGAATCAGCAGAACATAAGGAAGAAAACAAATCAATAAATCCGACTCACAACAACTCAGCAAATATTTTACATGCCCTAGAGTTCTGATCCAGTAATGCCTTTTCAATAACACCACACAGTTTGGTTTCGCTCTTCACATTGTCATTAGTTGATTATTGATTCAGCCATACATATAAGTTCTAAACAGAAATCAGTGTAGGAAGGATTCAAACTCTCCTTAGAAAAAGGTTTAGGATTCATTTGCACAGTGTGACAGTAGTGAAATGCCAACCATATACCCACTCCATACCCACTCAGAAGCTGGGAAACAAGGCAACTCCAGCACAGCAAGGTAACAACAAACCAGGCAGACCCATATTCTTGCTGCCCCACAGATGGCACTAACGAGTCAAGCCATTTTGAAATGGTAAGTCATAAAAGGCAAGAATCAGAATTACAGACCTTGAAAATACTCCTCTGACTGGAAGTGACACTGACACATGGAATTTCTCATATCCAGATGATTATGGGAGAAAGAATATGAGCAAAGGCAGTAAAGAGATGCTTCAACACTCAATATGCAAATACCTGGGGCTACACTAAATAAACTCCCCTCCAAAACCCCATGATTGGTTGTCATGTCTTTAATAGTAAATTCAAAGATTATCCCAAGGAGTGAATGGGTCAAATTGGATGGAGCCACACTGCTAATCCTTACAGAGGTAGCAATCCCTATCCCCATCCCAACTCAGCCCTGTCTAAAGCTAATCATTCTTTATTCTCTTCATTTCCCTATTATCAGGGCACCTGCCTCTAAGCTACATACACATTCCTGTTCCCACATCTATTTTCTACCCTGAACATGCACATAACAGAGACATCATCTTCCCTTTCCATTCCTCCTTTCCCAGTTCAATCCTGCCTGGCAACATTATACAATCTCTTCTGCTCTCCTCCCACTCCCAGCTCTGAACACCACTAGGGATTTGAGCACTCAGTAAGTACCTACTTAAACCAGATGTGGAAATCAATCAAGTCAACACAATTCAATATCAATTAAAGTTGTAATCTTTTGAAATTTCATAGGCAGTTAGCTAAAAAATCAATATAGTCATTATAATTGATTTTGGCCAACAACTGTCCTACAGTAAAGGCACTTTGCTCTAGTGTGTCTTCAGTCTAACAACACAGTGACACACTGTTATTTGTAATATAGTCTTTGTTTAAAGTATTACCCACAAAGGGAAGTGGTTTCACATCCTATAAACAATATTCTCAGTCATTTTATTTAATTCAAACTTGGCCTCAAAAAAGGATTCACTGGAAACACAAGTAATATACTTTAGAAAGAGAAACTGAATTTCCTTTCATTGAATTGTAGGAAATAAAATATTTGGTTTAGATTTTTCTGTGTCCATCACACAA